TTTGATAGTAAGAATAAATGAAATAATGGAGTGTAAGGAGAAAAAGGCAGGTTTATATATATATACACATATACATAGGTGACCACTGATTAAAAATGTTTCTCCAAAGGAGAAGTAAAAGCAATAAAAATCAATAGTTTCCTGCTACAGGTTTTACCTTTGCCTTTAACTCAAGAATACAAAACATCTCTCTTTTCCATTCTGTGTTACCAGTTCAAACATAATCTGAAGTGACAATAACTGAACTGTTACCATCTGTACCCATCTTTGCTTTGATAGTTACTCTTAAGAGACATCAGTGAGGACTGCTGCTGAAAGGCAAGATCCCAATCCCCAATCACAAATGTTCCCACCAGTTCCCTTGTGCTGGCACTAGAGCTCACACAGCTATGTGGTTAGCTAGTTTAGGGAATTGATCCAACTGAAAATAGCAAAGAAAAATAAAACAATTAGTTTTCATCTAAATCTATTTCCTGAGACAATCCTTGAACAGCTGCACATGTGTTTGTGCCAGTATTGGCACAAGAGAAACAACAGGAATGCACAGCCAAGACAGGGAAATGACCTACAGTGATCACCAAACTGCAGCCTTAGAATACTGCCTACACTAGACCATGAAATCAAATAGCAGAGTTTTTCAGCAATTTTGTTTAAAATGGGTGAACACTGAACTAGTTAGAAACAAAGTGGCATTTCTAAAGTTGAGATTTCAAAAGTAATTTTTGACTGTTCCTTGGGCAAACCAACGTGAGCAAAGCTTGATGCTGATCTATATTTGGTCACATTTTAATCCTTAATGTCTGATTACTCTGCCCCAGATGACTTATTTTATAAAAAAAAAAAGTAATGTAAAATGAAATACAGGATGTATAGGGCTGTTTATATAGGTAAACAGTTCTGACAATATTGATACCAAGTTTTAATAATTTAGCACATCTTCACAACACTGGTTGTAAATGGTTAAGATTACATTTTCAAGATTATTTTTATGATTTAATAGGTAAAGAAAGGAAATTATACTACATTGTATGAATTGTAATGGCATTCATCATTTATTTCCCACAGAGGTAATCCAAGGAGTAATTCTGTAGTACAACAGAAAATGATTGGCAAATTCATACTAAATACTAGGGTTTTTTTGTTTGTTTTTTTTGTTTTGTTTTGTTTTTTGTTTTGTTTTTTTTTTTGTTTTTTTTTTCCACGTTGAATGTCATTACACAGATTTCCCTGTCTTATCCTTCATGTATCTTTATACTTAAGACATTTTTTTCATGTAGAAATGTGAAAAGATACTCCACATTTTTTACTGCAACAATAAACAAGATCCCTGAGATGCTCTTCAAAAGAATTTATTTCCATTATTTGTAGAGACTACACAGACCTTTTGATATCTAATGAGACTATTTTTCTGAACAGTCCTAACTTTGATCACTGTTTAATTAAATAATCATCAGTTATATTTCTGTATTATAATAATAGGTATTCATCTTAAACAATTCCTGTCAAGGCTCTAAATACATCACACATTTAAAGGATCTCACTGTCAAGCAGTCACATGTATCAGGCAAGTGCTAATTCTTTAATCTATGAAAAATTAACATAGTGGACTGTAATTTCTTCTTTGTGGACTGTATGATCCTGTTAACAGTGAGCCACCTCACTGATGTAGTCATCTTACACAATGGACTTACTTTACCATGACTTTATCATACAAAAATGGCATCACCATGGTGGATACATATCAGGGATAAGCCTAGAGGAAAACAAAACAAAACAAAACAAAACCACAATATTTTTGATAATTTGAGAAGCGAGAAAGTAAATTACCTCATATTCCTGTGAGAACTTCAAATTGTCATTTGCTTTCAGTCTTTCAATATGATCTGCAAGTTCCAAGATAGGTATTGGGGGGTGACTGGCCATACCTGTTGGAAAAGAAAGAAGAACCAAATTTAAAATAAACTACAGTGATGACAGCACTGAAGAAATAAAACAATGTCGTAATTAGAATGGCTAGAAATGTATAAATAGTAAAGATGTCATAGTGAGAGGAGCAGGCAAATAGTTTGGTTACTCAAAGCACAACATGCTCTGGATAGATGAGCTCTGAAGCCAAATTAAAAGAAGTCACCAAGCATATTTCCAAAGCTAACATTCCTAGTTTAAAGGAAAAAAAGATGAGTCAATGACATTATCTAGGCATGGAAAAATGAAACAGTTAGATCTGATGTCGATCTCTGCTTTGAGTAATGACTCTTAATGTCATTTCAAACTTCTTCTCCTGCACTATATGAAATGGAAACTGCATTGATTTAGATGAGGAAAGATGAACTGAGAAACAGACACTGAAAGAGCCCTAAAGGGAAAAGAATAGTATTTTGACAGAAAGCAAAGTGACTTATGCATAATCAAGAAAAACGAACTTGAAAGATGAAGGTTACCAAGGTAACCGCAGACACCTGAACCTGCAAAGGAAATGGTACAAAACAAAGAAACCTAGAACTTAAAACTAACTTATAAAATTAATGTAGGTAAAATGAAATGGATAGCTTGAGGATTAATAACGATATATCAAGGTCTAGAAAACTGACTATGCATTCTGACTAAATTAAAAATACTGAAAATATTTTATGAAACTTCGAGGTTACTGACATTCACATGCAAATACAAATGACTAGAATAGCATGCATTATTGCTTTTAGACAACAGGCACTGAAGACAAAATCAGACATCAGACAGTTAGAATTTCAAAAATGTTTTCACTAGTAGCAGATTGTAGAAGCAGGGGTTGTACAGGTTAGCTGGACACACATACTGACTGCACTAGTACTTTAAAATACGCTTTATCTATAACCCCATTTATCAACCCCCGAAAGTACCTACAATCTACTTCAGGTGTAAACATCTTTGTCTACTGATGAAGATACTAAGTAAAAAATAAAACTAAGAGCTGGGAAACAGAGATAGATATGGGTGAGGAAGGGAGTATAGGGACAGCAAGGCAAAAGGACAGAAGAGATGTGGGGCCAACTAGCATAATCTGCCAGCTGAAGATCTGACAGGAAAAAATTGTGAACAGCACTGTTTCAGTGTGTGTCTCCATGACCCTCATCCAACTGGTTTCATTCTTCTCCATGTGCTTAATTGAAGTGAGTTTTCAATTGCTTGTGGAAAATCAGAGCTGGCTAGAAAAAATAAACTAGTGAACCCCAGAATCTCTTGAAATTATAAAAGGAAAACAGTGATGACTCAAGGGGGCTCAAGCTGGAAGCCATGTTGCACAATGTCATTTGCTTTGTCACCGTGAATTTCAAGAACACGCCTACGACAGTTAACTTGCATTTCCTATTGTGTAGCTGAAAATGACCATGTGATTACAACACAGTCACTATAGCTTGTTTTTCTTTCTCTCTCTCCTTCTCACTCTCTGTCTCTCTTTCTCTCTCTTTTTTTCTTTCTTTCTTTCTTCTTCTTTTCTTTTTGTTTGTCTTTTCAAGCAAAATACTAATTATGTCCAGCAACACTGACCCTAACTGACTCTATAAACATATATTTTTGTATTACCTTCATAGCACATATGGGATGTTGAAACAGTGTTTAAAGTAGACATAAAAACAATTTGCCAGTCAACTAACAAAACAGAATATTTATTTCTAATGAGGAGACTTATTAGAAATTTCAGTTAACAAATCAGCCTATAATGAATCATTTGAATCAGTTCAGGTTGTCTCCCATTTTCTTTGAAATTTCACTCATTCTCAGAAGAGTGCGGGTGACAGACTAACACACATCTAACAGTTAACTCATTGATCCAGATCAAGCACCCCTATGGAAAATATGTCAGTGAAAAGGCACAAGAGAACTCTAGATTGATCCAGAAATGGAGGTGGACTGATGTACATCTAAAACAGTGCTTGAACAGAGAAAATAATAGAGACAAAGATGTTTAGACCTTTTCGAGCGAATCGTGGGAGAGAGTTATTATCATATAAGGACTGAGTGGTAGTTTGGCTAGAGAGGGAGGACACAGAGCCAATCAGGGAGGCGTAGGGGACTGAATTACTGCTCAAAGCTGCAAAAAGTAAAAGCCAATTGGAAATGGGAAACAAATTAGTAACAGTAGTAGATCACCATAATCAATCAATCTTGTACATACAGGCACTTCAGACATGCACAAAACAGTGTGGAAACTCAACTAAGGTGTTTAGAGTCCAACTACCCTACAGTAAGTATAAAGAATATAAAACCAAAGAGATGAGACTTCTTGTATACATGATGAACCTGACTAAAACAGCAGCATCAAAAATATCAATAATTAGTTTTCTGTGAAGGACTTTTTGTTTTTGTTTTTTTTTTTTTTTTTTTTAATGTTGATTATCCAGTACTTTTAAACTGTTCTTATTTATGTGCTCCTCCACATGCCAGCTAATATTCCTAAAGGGAGAACTCATATTAAACATTTTGTGCAAATTGAAACTCGATGTAAAAACTTCTTTATAAGAAAATAAAAATACTGAACACTTCTGAAACTTGATAATTTTGACCACATGTAAACCTCCTTTCTCCAGGATTTACTTTAGGCAGTTACATTTAAACACTTTTGAACTTGCTTCAAATAATATACAAAGTATGCTCTACTAAGATGCTAAAAGTAGTTATTTTCTTAAAGAGAACTGCTAGAAATCTTTTGCTATGTAATCAGTCTGTGAATCATAACAAGCATCATAATAGAATATGTTATGAATGAACATGTTAAGATCTTGTGTAGAATCACAAGGCTCCTACTCCAACTTGACTCAAAGCCCCACCCAAAACACAGGTAACACTTATTTTTGTGGCTAAAAATAAGAAAATACACTTATTTTCTGACACTTCTCCACATAAATCAGCATGTGCTACAAAAACACAAAAGGATTTCAGACAAAATACAGTTAAATTTCAACAGGTTTTGTGACATGCTGTTAAATCAAAAGAAACACCATGCCAAATCCATGCTTTAAAACCTTCCTTAAAGTAAGAAATTAGGAGAAAAAAAAACACTGAAAAAAAAAATTAATAGAAAAAAAAAAAATACATGCAAAACACAGTTGAAATTGTATTTATAATGAGTGTTTATTTCCAGACTTGGTAGAAAACTGTTAAATTCAATTGATCTTACACAGCCTAGTATAATAGCACACTGCAAGAATTAAATTAAAATGTATGTTTAAATTACTGTGCATAAATATCTTCTGATTAATCTGTGTTAAGCATAAAACCAAGAAACAAGGGTTACCATGTGTGCCACAGTTTTAAGGCACAGCTGGGAAAGTAAGGTCAGAATTTACCTGCAGTCTTTATCCAGGCACTATATTTGCACAGTGCAATTCTTTACCTGACAGAAACAAGTGGATGTTTCGGCCTTGACAATAGTTTATTAAATTAGGATTTTGTGTTATTGTCAGTGTTTTACACTAAGGGCTTTTAAAAACATCTGCCGAACATACTTACTTATAAATCTGAACATATATGTTGACTGCCCACAATAATTAAGAAATTATTTAAAAAAGGAAATATAGTAAACATCTGCTAGAGTACAGAACATTATTCAGATGAAATGAAAATGGGTTATCCTATTTTCAGAGATATTTCTTTATGAAATGTATTATATTAATGATGTAAATCAAATTATCACTTTTGTATTTTAAATGTTCACTTATTACATACTCATTTTTATTCATTTACAAAGATGCAGTCCCACATATCAATCTACATTAAAATGTTGTCCTATTATAGAAAGAGTAAGGAATCAGTAATGGCTTATACTTTCTATTATCAGAAAAATAAAAACAAATGTAAAATTGGGACATAGGAAATTGAAAAGATGAAAGATGGTCCTGATTTTGGTAGGAATTTGCTATCCATGAAAATCCATCCAGGATGCCTTTCATATATTAGCCAAATCACTATTACTTTAAATTTTCTGTTAACTCAGAGTGATCTTGTGTACAGAACTAAAATTACAAGCTCTGGAGAAATGTTACTCTGCAATATCTGTATTAAAATAGTTACACACATGCATATAATACTTCAAAATGAAGCCACTTTTATTTCAGAATAATTCTAAGGTGGCTTAACTATTCTGTAACAAAAGTAATTCTTCTTGTGTATCAGACTTAGACTTGCCAAAATCCCTAGGGTATCAAAGTGGAACACCCCACTCTTAGCAAGCTATAAAAGCTCTCTACAGTGAGAAATAGTCTGAAAGGTGTTCAGACCCTGATCTAGAAATTGCTTGGCTCATTAGAGTGTTACAAGATCACTGGCTAATACCCAAAGAAGAAAAAAATTACTTTGGAGAGCAACAGAATCGTGAACTCCACCTTCCAGCTAAGCAGATTTTTATTACCTAGGTTTTATTATCTAGGTTAGATAGCAAACAATTGAGAAATTTTTTTTTATTTTTTTTTATTTTTTTTAATTTTTTTTATTTTTTGCATGCTGAACCTAAATCTCACTTAAGGTGCTTAAATCATTCATTTGAGACAAGTTCACACATGTGTAAAATGCATATTGGATAGTTCACTGTGAGGAAGCTATTCCCGCTTGGTTTTGCCACGGAGAAAAACATCAGTTCTTTTTTCAGCTTATCACCTTCTCATGACAAACAGAAATTGTGTACAAAAAAACATGGGAAAGAACTTTAGAAGAGGTGACTAAAACCAGGCATCACTTTTTTCCGTTTTTGTTACTTGTATGTTTTTCCTACGGAATTCAAAGACTAAGAGATTAATGAGCATTTATTACCAAATTAAAAAGCAGAATCTTCAATTTGGGGCTGCAATTATTTTATTTTATTTTTTCTTGTATTTCAAAGTATCTTATTTAGTTCATATGAGATAATGAGATAATTGTTTAATTGGCATCCAATTAAGCAAATTACTTATAAGCGTGACACATACTGCACTTAAATGAGAAGAAAAAACAGCCATTTTTCAGGAACTAATCAATTCATTTCTTTGTCTGATTGGCAGATTGAAGTCTTTCGCCAAGCCTTAGGTTTCTCATAACCCACTCAAACTATTCAACATGAATTATTCTCCTCTGTACAAAGCTGCTCTTCCTCATCTGATGGAACCCTTTGTGAGGGCTTAATTATTACCCCTTCTCTATTTTTACTCTCCCACGTGGCATAAAGAGACGAAATTTTTGCACCTGGATGATGATGTTAATCCCATATTTTGTGAAAACTTGTTGAATGGGAAGAATGTGACTTTCCCTCAGCTACCGTAGTTACAGAAGAATAACAGATTCATAAATGAAATCCTTTGTGCAGCTGAGAGACTGACTATTTTCATGTTTACTCAAAAAAAAACTTGGCACAGCTGTGACCCACTCACTTGCATATGGACTTATCTGAAAAATATACTTTTTTTGGATTATACATGTGGACATAAGATCTTGTTCTCAGATGTAGAACTGTGGGCTATTCCAAATGTCAAAGCAAAATGTCAGGTTTTTTGTTGTTGTTGTTTTGTTTTGTTTTGTTTTCTGTGGAGTTGCTCCACCTACAGAGAATTAAAGCCAGAAATGAATTTTACCCCTCATGGACAAAGTAAGATAGGAAAAACCTTAGGCAAGTAAAAGATCAGAGAGGAATGTAATTTCTTATTGACAGGAAAAAGTGATAAGAAAGCAAGATATTTTCTTTGCTGGTAGTTTATAATGTGTATTTTTATTATATCTTCATGTTGAAGTAATAATTTTACTACCAGTACAACATAAGTGTTGCCCAAATCACTGTGAGGATATCACTGAAGATAAAATACTTCTTTCCGATAATTTCTTTCAAATAGCCATGCATAACTAATTGTAATGAGACTATTTTGCACTAGAAGTTAGAATTTCAAAATTAACACAAGGGATTAATTTTTGAATTATTTTGGTGATTGTATCTGATTTGCTCTTCCTTGAACAAAAAATATGATTTCCAGGATTTTCAAAAAGAGCTTGTATAAAAGTCTTTTACAGGGTTTTACAGCCTTGACTTTTATAGGTTTGTTTCATTCTCTCCCACAGTGAGTGTTTCTCCCAGTGAGAACTGACAATCTAAATGTGCCAACATAATTTTATATGTTCTTCCCTCATATCACTTCACATCATGGATTCATCATAAACTTTTCTGTTTCTGTATTTGGTTTCTTTATTACAAGCAACTGGTGCACCTGAAAAGCTTCAAGAAAAATGTGGATACTTCCACAAGTTAAATAAATAGATAATAATAACAACAGTAATGTCAAATCATCAATCCTGATGCAAAACCAACAAACCTACTGTCCTAAACCTACAACTTTTCTGTATTTCCTCTACATTTGCATTGGGAAAGATTTGTCCTACATGTTACTTAATAGTGTTAGTGTGTGGAGCTGGATAAACATGCCAGAAGTATCCATCTATCTAAGGTAAAGGAAGATTTACATAGAATTGTATCCTAGTGCAAATTAAGTGAAATTCTGTTTCTGCTAGCATAGGAACTGTGGATTAACTTCACTGCAGCTACAATCTCATACTAAGAACAAGGTAATTATGAAGTGTTACATAGCAAGACAAATCTCCTGAGATAGGATCCTGGTATTTGGTTGCATGCAGAATATCATAATGGCTTGATCTGTGTCTATGTTTCTTGGGAAAAAAAAAAGATCATACTTTGATTATGATATTGCATACTTTTTTTTTTGGTTGCATGCAGAATATCATAATGGCTTGATCTATGTCTATGTTTCTTAGGAAAAAAATATCATACTTTGATTTCTATATTGA